GTTCAGAGTTCACAGATAATCGTACGTGGTATATACGTGGTACATCCAATAACGCTAACAAATGACTCATGATTACATGAGACGGTACAAATGATCCATGAAGAGACCAAATGACCCATAAAGGGACATATATAGAGCAGATAAACAATTATGCATAGCCAACCCTAGTACCAGGTCATATAACAGATATCACATGATGCTAAGGATGCCATGAATACATTTAAGAAAATTGGACAATCATTCATTTAATCATAAAATAACATTTCAGAAAATAGATCACATCATCTCATTCAGAAAATACTTAAAGTTGAATATAGTTTTACAGAATTATTACTCACAAATAGCACTAGTAGCAGAACATATCACTTGAACAAAACAAGTCGATCAAGCGGGTGTTAACACATGACGTACAAGCACATGATAGATACACTTGAACACACGTGCCATAGGCGCTAAACTTATTATTCTTCATTCTTAATGTGTGTTTCTAACTCTTATTCTCATTAATGTAGCTTAAATATGGCTTGAGAATGCCTTGGATGCAATGAAGATGCAAAAATGCACTTTGACACACTTAGCCAAATTTCTGAGAACATGGTAGTTCGCTCGAGCGAAGCTTTTGTCGCTCGAGCGGTCTGCAAAGTCTGTAACTATACTAAGAGCTCTCATTCAAACTCAAGCCATCTTTTGGTCGCTCGAGCCAAGGCTCGAAACAAAATGGTGGTCATTCAAACAGTCTTTTGTTCGCTCGAGCCAACCATCAATCTCTACAAAACTTCTAAGAGCTTGAATTTTACGCTCGAGCGAAGGAACCGTCGCTCGAGCGATCATGCCGAATTCTAGAATTTTCAGATTACTCTCCAAGCTTCAAAACATAATTCTAAGGCATCAAAACACATTATTTTGAGTCAAAACTTAAGAAAACTTGTAAAGACTCATAGAACTTCATGATTTGAGAGTCATTTCGCAAAATCAATACCCAAAAACAAGTCAATTGTTTGAAATCAAACTTGAAACTCATTGAATAACACATGCATGATAAATCATGATTTCTTTCCTTCCAAAACATGATCAAGTGAGATGCAATGACATGAAATGTGATGAATTTCCACAACAAAGCTAAGATAAACAATTGCATGTAAGAATTCTTTGGAAATTTACTTCAAAACATGGTGAAATGAGCATGCATGCATGATTTGTTTCTCAAGTCTACTTCCTTAGCTTGAATTATGCATTAATCAACTTGATTCTCTTGGATTCTCATGTAAGCTAACTTAATGTCTCAAATTCAAGGTTGAATTTCTTACCTAGGCTCTCAATTCTCTTGAATTTTAGCAATTCCTTGTATGATTCTTCTAATTCTTTCAATTTTCCAAGCAATTCTTCATCCTCAAGCTCTGATCTCAATGTTCTCTTCTCTCTCTCTCTCTCTCTCTCTCTCTCTCTACGTTTTTATTGAAGAAGATGATGAAAATGAAGTGTATATGAGGCTTCTAGAATCAATTAGCCTTATATAGGCTCAATTAGTAAAGAGAAATTAATTCTTGATTAAGCTAATCAATTGACATTATTTTATTCTAATTATTTTATTCCAAATCGAATTTTAATTAAACCTACCATAAAATTTTAAAAATTCTCAATTACACATTGACCTAGTCAATTTCGTATTTGGTGGCCGATAAGGCCTGTAATTCACATATTGAAATAGAAATTCAAACAAATATTCCTATCATAGACAGATATAAATACAAATAATACATGACACATGTAATTAACTTCAGATTTCATCTTAATTACTTGTTAAACATTCTTAATCAAGGATTATAGGCTAATCACAGGTTGGGGTTGTTACAATATGATTGATAATTTGAGGTGGAATAAAGATACATCGGGTTCTTTCACTGTTGCCTCAGCTTATAAGTGATGTGAGTTGACTTCTAAAGCTACTAGCAAAATAACTAATTCCATTTGGAAGAATGATTCTCCACCCAAGGCTCAATTTTTTGGTTGTCTAGCATGGAAATGGAGGATTGAGACATTTAGTTACTTTCAAAGAATTTATGTTCTCAGTTGTGAAAGAAATGTAAATTGTATTTTCTGTAATGTTGAGTGTCAACCATGTACTACTGTTTTGCCCTTGTCTGACAGATTTTGTCAAATATTATCAATTGGTGGGGATTAAAATGGGCAATGTTTGGGGTCTATAAGTAGCATTTTTCATTGGTGGGCTAGTACTAAACTCAAAAAGTATGAGAAGTTGATTTGGAAAGCCATCCATCTGTTTGTGCTTTGATCCATTTGAAAACAAAGAAATGAGAGCATTTTTAATGGCTCACAGTTGGATTTTAAAGGTTTGTGTGAATCTATCAAGCTTAGGATTGCAATGTGGATCAAAAATATCACACCCATCTTTGAATTACTCAGTGAATGATATTATCTATAATCTACAGCAAGTTAAATTCTGCATCAAGGGTGCTAGTTGAGCAGTCTAGGAGATTGTGTTAATTTTTTGCATCAATGAAAGTTGGGTGTGGCTACTGTTGGGTTGATTTTTGGGTGTGGCCTTGATTATTTGTTGGTCTCTTGTTCACTTTTTTACTATTGTTGGTTTCTTACCAACCTTTTGTGGTTGTGCTAATGATTGAGTATTTTTCTTAGTATTAACCTAATTGGAATTGTGATTTTTGCTTTGATCATTTTTGCACTTTCACTTCTTTATTGATATAATCTCATATGAAATGTATGTTTTATCCATCAATAAAAATTCTTTTTGCTGATCATTGTTTTTTTTTTTTTAACCCAAGTAGTAACTCGTTTGAAATTTATTTAAATAAAAAATAATCAATCTAAACAATTTTTTTCTAAAAAGATAATATTCTCTAATGATTTGACCCAATTTAACGTAAGGCAAGGCTATGGCCCACGTGCAGTGGACCATATTTGGGTTAGGGTCTCTCTTCGTACAAGGCATGAGTATATCAACATCATATTAACTTTTGACTTAACCAATGTGGGACAAACTTTCTAAAAGATCTCTCTTCGTACAAGGCATGAGTATATCAACATCATATTAATTTTTGACTTAACGAATGAGGTAAACTTTCTAAAATTTATTACCATATTGCTTGCTCAAATGGTGCATTTTAGATTTATTATTCATCTACTAATGATTTTATTTCACTTAGACCCATCAAAACGGATGTACGGATTGCATCTAAAAATTAGCCCAAACTTAAAAAATAAAAAATAAAACCAAAATCATTTTTCCAACACTAATTTACTTTAATTTCAACGGGGAATCAAAAAAGATGGCTACATGTACAACATGAATTGAACCAAGTTTAAGATAAACAGGTCTAAATCCGTGAGTGGTGGAAGAAGGACTTCCAAACATGTCATATAGTTGTCAATTGTCCCTTCAATAAATATTTGTCCAACACTTTTACTCCACCCCCACCCCACCAGCAAAAGCAAAAGCAAAGCAAAACAAATTAGCTGTTGATGATTGTATAGGGATGCGAGATTGAAGAACGACGTACAATTTCATGGGCCATCGTTGTCTTCAAAATGTGCATGATTTTGATTTCAATTCTTTTTTCTTTTACATGAAATATTTAATTTCCATTCTTAGTACAACTAAATTGAAAAGTTAAATCATCATCTTTGTTTTTGGCTTATTTCGGTCTTGTGAGTGAATCATGATCTATGTGGGTACATCTTTTCTGATGTACTACTACTATTAAAGATAGGGTGCAACTTGTCTCCTGTTGATATCAAGATTGGACCTGTTCAGTCCGGCTCATGGGCCCATTTTAGGTCTCGTTCTGATAATCCGAATCGTTCAATATGTAGAACTCGTCGAGCACTATATCTCTGTAAAAAAATTACATTTATTGGATATCGATAGTTATTTAATCTGATCAGAATTGTATTAAAAAAATGAACGGTGAAAAAATAAACGGTTGACAAAATTCTAACCCGATCAAATAGCTATCGATATCCGATCAACGTGATTGTTTAAAGAAGTAAAGTACTCGACAAGTTCTACACATTGAACGGTTCAGATTATCAAAACGAGACCTCAAAATGGACTTATGGGTCAGACTGAATAGGTCCAATTTTGATCTCAACATGAGACAATATATGTACATATATAGACGGAGAGAGAGAGCTTTGCTCTCTTTTAAAGCTGTTTGCTCATTGCAGCCTTGTCACAGTTTGCTTTAAACTTTAGAACAAGATCTTGATTCTCGCAGCAAGCATGTGGCTATAAGAAAAGATAGAAAAGTGATAATTGACTTCCAATTTGAAATGTGAATAGTACATATATCTAGCATTCTCTACAAGAACCTTATTATATACTTTATAATTCTGAGTCAAAACACAAATAGTGACCAAGAATGACCAATCCCAGTCATATCCAATGATAGCTCAGCCATGCCTCAATTGTTATTCATGTTCTTCTGAGAAACATATAACCTTTGGTAAATAAAACATTTACTCAGATATATCTGAAACAATGATTGGTTTCTGGGAGGAAGTTCAAAGAATGCCCAGCAAACACATTGGACGCTGTTGGTGTTGACAACATTATCATATATCGGTTAATATTAAACAATAACGGTTAATATCAAAATTTCAATATTTTGTTATGTATTAACTAATGTGAAATGCAGCATCCGTCCACAATTAAAATCTTGGCAGTGAATTGTATTGATAAAACTTCTATGTCCAATGCATGAGTAATTATTCAATTCTCTATGCAACAATGTCATTAACATACGTCATTTATATGTGATCGCTATTTCTATACTTGTAAATCTAGTATTGTATGGTAAAATTATTCACTTTCATATGTGCTAGTGTCATAAACCCATTTTTCACCTTAAATTTGTGTGGCATTAAATATTTTTTCATAATACATATTCAAACTGAAATTCTTGATTTGGCCTTAATATTGCCAAACCTAGGCACAAACTTGTCATACCAAATGTACAATATTTGAGAGAAAGAAAGAGAGACTTTGATTCCAATGAGCAATTTCAAGTACAAAGGATTGCTAAATGAAAATTAGAGAAGACAACCCGTCTTGTAAATGAAGGTTAAATGAAAATTTTGGAAAAGAAAAAATCACAGCAGAAAAGCCATCTGAATTTTATTTTTCAAAACAGAACAGCATCTTGCTGAATCCTACCTAACATCTGATTCACAGCCGTGGCTATTTCATCCACTGAGGTCAAATTGCAGTCATCTTCTACCTGCAACAACATTACCAAAAACATGATAAGTTCTTTCTCTTTCTCTTTCATCCACTGAGGTCAAATTGAAACAATTTTTTTATATTTTGGAGATTAAATTGGCATAATGTAAATATTGGGATCAAAATAACACAAAACGCATTATTTTTGGACCAAAATTATAATTAACCCCTTTCATCTCTTTTTTCAATTTTATGAACATATATTGGAGAGAAAAAAAAACTCTGTATAACTAACCTTAACACTTAGAGAATAGAGGACAACTTGATCAACAGTTGTAACATTCAGATGGAGGATAGTGAGCCTGAGTTTTTGGAACCCAGAAACCATCTTCAGGAGCTGTTTGGGCCGCTTTTTGGATCTTATTTTGAGATTGGCATGGCTCTCTACCATCGTCACTTCTATGTCTGCTATGGCAGAATGATTTTCAGCACAAGCTAGCTCAGTCACCATTATTGAATTTTCACAGCTACCCAAACTTGTTGAGTACTGTGGAAAGGTAAAGAATTCAGCAAAAGGCGAAGAAGATGAAGATGCAGATGAAGAAGAAGAACCAGCCTCAAACTTTGGGTTCATATGCTTCTGTCCACCAAGAAACTGAAGCTTTTGCTCAAGCTCCTTGACATAATTAATAGCACCACCAATGATAGATGCTTGATCACCCTGTTCACATTTACAAAATAATAAATAAATAAATAATTAAAAAAATTAAAAAAGACATCACCAAACAATCATATATTTGTGTTTAAAATAGAAGTATCAAAATTATCAAACCATATGTATTGAAAATCTAATAATGTAGTTGTAAATTTTTCAAAATGATTTGTCAAAACCAAAAAAAAAAATCCGTTATATAAGCCCAATTAATACTCAATTAGTAATATTGACCGTAATGTATTGAGATACCAATACTATGGCTTTAAATAAAGATATTTAGATATTTATGAGTAGCGGTGACATGATGATATATATTGGCTAGCTAATTTCAGTGAGTGATGGACATCATTATGCTAATATATGGACGAATTACACTATGTCTTATTTATGATTGGTCATGTTTTAAGTTTTTTTAATTTACTCAAAAATCTAAATTATATCCAAAATTAGACATAAAATAATACTTTGACAGTTAGAAGGCATATAAATATTTTATTAAATGTAATTCAAGCCCTTAAATCCGAACTCTATTATAATAATATATTTTTTGTGTCATGGAGCAGTTGATGTGACATTTCATGTCTAATTTTGAACAAAAAATAGTTTTAGAAGTAAATTGAAAAAAAAAATGAAAAGTGAAAAAAAAAATCAATCTTTAAGGGTCCAATTGGAAAAAAATAAAAAATAAAAAATGAAAAATAAATAAATAAACATAAAGAGGCAAAGTTTAGTTTATCCCTAATGTATTAATAAATAACAGAAGTAAAGAGTGTTTATATTTACCCTTATCTTTTTTCTTAGGACCCATCTTTTTCATTTTTTTTAATTTCAATTTCATCAAAACATAAAATTTCATTTTTACTCATATCCATAACCTTTTAATCCTAATTTTGCAAACCCTAACTCTAATCCCGTCGACCATCCCCATCACCTCCGACATCCGCAGCTCACCCTCTCCATCACCCCCAACGTGAATCGTCCACCTTATCCGCCACCCCCAACGTCGGCTGCTACCCACCATTGTGACATCCCCATAATCATCCCTACAACACTCTCGACCTTCGACGCCGCCCCAATTCGTCTCTACTTCTGCATATCTTCTCCTACTGTCGTGAGCCACCCCACAGCTTTCTTCTTTATGAAACCCTAGCCGTCACTGCCTTCTTCGATCGCAAACCCTAGTTGTTGCTGCCTTCTGTGATCGCGCAAGAAAGAGGCAAGAGACAACCCATAATCACTATCTCAATTGCGACACGAGAGAGAGAGCGTTAAGGCTGGGTGGGGATAGGAATGTGAATGGGTAGTGACGGTGGTGGTTGGGAAGGGGTTCATGGTCGCGATGTGGTAGAGAAAGGACAAAGGGAGAATAAGGAAAGAGTTAGGTTACTCTCCATAGTAGGCGGCTGGAGCTGTGGTGGTGGAGGTAGTGCGGTTGCTGGTAAGGGTGGGGTTTGCAATGGAGAGGTCGCCCTCACCGATGCTGAAGGTTACCGGCAATGAGAGGAGGTTGCCAGAAGAAAAGTTAGGGTTCCAATCCAAAGAAGAAATGTATAGTTGGGATTAAGAAAAAAAAAGGGAGGGACTCAATTAAGTGGATAGGAATTCAAAAAAGTGGGGGTCCAAATTGAAAATGTACGGACATTTAGCAACATTCAAGTCTAAAATCAAATGTCTTTCCGAAGTACCAAAAAAAAAAGTCTAAAATCAAATTATTTAATGGATGATATGACACATAACGATTGATATTTAAAATATATATACACATTATAAATATATATATTAGAAAGTGTTCACACTTACATAGGTGTGTCATATATCTCTATTCTCCAATTACAACTTCTAGTAACTATAATTTTAATATAATTAAAAATATTTATAGAAAAACTCCCATTTTCTATAAAGAAGTAACTATAATTTTAATATAATTAAAAATATTTATAGAAAAACTCCCATTTTCTATAAAGAAAAGCAATAATTTGAGGATATCGAGTTCAGCCTTTACTTTATAAATAGATAAATAGATAGATAGATAGATAGATACAAAGAAAGAAAGAGAGAGAACCCTTTGAACGTAAGAATCTGGCATGAGTCCTCGGAGGGAAGACAGGTACTCATTCATGAGTTTTCTCCGATTACGCTCGACCGCAATGTGGGTCATTCTCTGGTTCTCGATTTCTTCCTTGTTCTTTTTGCTTTTGGATCGACGTCGTTTAGGCCTGGTTGACATGGCCATGGTTGAGGTGTCCAAGTGGTGCAATTCTTCGGGAACTATGGAGGTAGAGATATCGAGGTCTGAGGATGAGTTGGGACACCATTGCTCCCAATATGGCACCACAAATGAAGAAGGTGGAGAATTCCAATTTGCATAGTCGAAATTTTCTGTTTGGTTCTCGAGAATGTCGAAAGAATCGCACTCTTCTTCTTTTTCTGCTAGACCAAATTCACAGCCCCAGTTTCCTTGTAGCAAGTCATAGAGATCTGTGGTGTTATAACCATACAACTCTTGTTGAGCTACAACAGCTTCCAAGGCCATTCTCTCTCTCTCGAAGGAAACCAATATCAAAGAAGGCTCATCCAAACCTCATCTTTAGCCTTTGGATCTCATTGAGCTTTTAAAGCCATTTTTTTAAATAACAATATCTACAGCATATTGCACGTGACATTTGATTGATTTTATGAAAGTAAAAAGTAAATGATTTATAAGAGAGAAAAGTGAAAATAAGGTTTTTTTACAAGCAAAAACATAAGTAATTGTGCGAGTATTATGATATAGTTTACTCGCGCCTAGAGACATTTTGTGAATTAATGAAGATTAAGAAAATTTTATTGATTAATTAGCAAAGATTAATATATAATAATTTACACATTCTCTTTGATTTATCAATTTAGGTAAGAATTTAAAATAATAATAATAATAATAATAATAATATATAAATAAAATATAACTATATTTTATCTACAATACCCTCTTTTTTTTTTCCTTTTTGTCAAATTTCTTCATAAATCAAACACTATCTAAATAAAGGACTCTTTATTCTTGAGAAGGACACTCATGTGAAGATATAGGTCCTAATTCCCATTAAATAATATTTTAGAAGAAATTATTCGATACTCCTCAAGTACATGGAGGTGATGCTTCAAAGGAGTAATCATTACTTTGGAAATGGCTCTTTCACATTACTGTCTTCTATATTTTTTCATACACTATTTCATGGGTCATATTATACGCCCGCAACATTAATCCAAACAATTTATTTTATAAACTTAATAATAAAAATTAATTGTGTAAAAAATTAATTTATTAGATATCACTAAACACATAAATAAATTATGTTTTATTTTTTTAAATGAATGACAACTATAAATTTAAATTTAAATCATTCATTTTTTAAAACAAAATACATTTTATTCATCGATATCCGAGAAAATTAATTTTTTACATATATAGTCTTTACTATGAAGTTTAAGAAATGAACAATTTAGATAATTATTGAAGGCTCAAAGTTAAGGCCTGCAAAGTCAAATATGGAGGAGTTTACAAGATAGTTGTATGAAGATGGTCTTATTAATCTAGTTCATTGAATTCACGAGAATGACTCATCTTCGTACCATTATTCTCCTTCCCAATTCATTATGTGGGGCTCACTTTAGACTCACAATGATAATCTAAATCGTTCATCTCGTAGTGAAGACCACATTTGTAAAAAATTAACTTCAGTAAATATTGATGAATGAATAAACAAATCATATTTTATTTTATAAAATGAAATTATTGTCCATTTAAAAAAATAAAATGTAATTTATTTCTGTATCTAGTGCTGTTCAATGAAACTGATTTTTCACATAACTCATTTTTATTATTAAACCTATTACATAAACGGTTTGATTGATCATTTTGGACCCCAGATAAATCCACAATAGAATTGGAGGGGATATAAAAATAGTGATATAAAAGAGATATAAAAGGATAAATAATATCTATAAATTGGTATATCAATTAGTATACTATTAGATGATGTGTTATAATTTTATTAGCTTTGAGTCTTTGTAGATTATATAATGAGTGGAGTCCATAATTTTAAAATTATAATATTATAATATATATTGATACACTAATTGATATAATAATTAATATGGGTAGAACTATTGCCAACGCTGGCTGATTAATAGCCAGAATGTGTTCCTCCTGTTTACATGCACCTAAAACATGTTAAGAGCAAATTATGTTGGTAGTACTTGTATTTTAGTTTTTGTATCATTTTGATTTTTATAATTTTAATAAGTTTGTTTTTTATCTTAAATTTATAATTTTATCTTAATTTAATTTAATTGATTGCAACAATTAGCAATTTTTAATAGAAAATACGTACATAAGTGGCATGTGTCATATTTGTAGGAACAAAATTATAAACTTGCTCAACTTCATGAGTTTAATCTCAATCAATTTAGTAATTATTTTTTGTCCAAAATACAAATAACGTTATTAATTCGATCAAATTAATATAAAATTTAAAATTGAGGATCAAAATTATACTAATTAAAAGTATAGGGAACAAAATAACACAATGAAGAACATATAAGGACTACTAATGTAATTTGTTCAAATGTTAAATATATGATATTTTTATTTTACAAAATGTAATAACGATATTTTTATAATTATGAACTATAGTAAGGATTTTTGACTCCATTGAATAGATATAATTTAGAGATATCATTCTATATATAGTTTTTCTATAAAAACATAAAGTTGTACGTACTAATTAATACACCAATAAGTTGTATATACAATGATTGAGTGATATAGCATTACCTAGCACAATTTTTTTTTATGTAACAATCATTAAAAGGGAAGTAGAGAAGAATAAATTACATCATAAAGAAGTAAAACATCTTGCTAAATTAACATTTGCTCTTAGTCACGCAATGATTAAAAGCGAGCCTTGAATGTATCCAATACTAATACCTATATTTGTGGTATGCAAATGATTACAAAACATCTACAATTTGATCATCAGATAATAAATTATAGACACCTTGAAAAAGTTTCTCCCCATTAATATATATACATATATAATCCAATATTATTAGTAAATGAAAACATAGTTGGACAGTGACACTATTCAATAATATAGTCGGATTAGTATAAGATAAGCCTTGTTTACTCACTTTATTTGTGATTTTTAATTGAACAATGGTATTATTCAATAATATTATATAAAATACTGTTATTATTAGATTTATTTATTATTACTCTCTCTGTTCTAAAATATTGGTCTCTTATTCCCTTTTTTATTATTTCAAAATATTAGTTCATTTTCAAAAATTACAGACAAAAATAATATGAATTTTTTATTTTGTCATTCTTTTAAATTCATTAACAACATAGAAAGTACAATCATGATAATTGATATTCTTTGAAAAATGTACTATCAAAGGAAAAATTTGAAAAATTAATTTTTTTAAGTGTAATAATTATACTATCAAAAAAAATTCAATTCTCCCAAACGAGACTATTATTTCAAAACAGAGGAAGTATTTTTTTTTTGTTTCCCCCGAAATGAGACCTATGGCAAAGAATACAAAAGAACAGTGCTAGTGTCTGTACAATTAAGAATGTTGACGGAATTTGAGCCAAGGAAATAACTTCGTTGTATCCCTTGCAGCCCTTCACTATAGGCCATCATGGTTCAAGTTACGACATCCCTCTCTTTTCCACTTAGGCTTGCCTTTTGTCCACACTAGGCATGCATAAGATTGGCAACTAATGAAATAGGAGGATAAATTATTAATGTAACTTAATAACTAGATTTAATTTTTATTAAGTTTTAATAAAATTATTATTAAAAAGAATTATTTGTGACTTATATTGTTAAAAATTAATAATTAATAACTTTTTATTATTATTTTTTATAAATTACCGTTAAAATTTACAATTAGTAATTTTTTTCTGTGACAAATTCTTTAAATTATCTCTAAAAGTTGATAGTGACTTATTTTGTGACAATTTTTTAAAATTATTGCTAAAACTTATAATTAGTGACATTTTTATAAAAAAAAATTAAATTATCGTTAAAAATTAATAATTAGTGGCTTTTTTAATAGTGTTTAATGAAAAACACAATTAATTATCATAGGACCTATTCGATAATAAGGCCTCGTTTGGCAAGAGGCTATTTTAGCCAATTAGCCAAAAAGTTACTAAATTAGCCAAAAAGCCAACAACCCATACCAAAAAGTCAAAGATTCTCTTTTCTCTCTACTTTTTGCACATCTTTTCGTAAAAAGCAAAAAAAATAGATTAACAAAATTACGGGGCTAGCGGAAGCAAATACATATATATAATTGTCCAATGAGCTGTGCTGACTTATATGAAACAGAACAATTAAAACTTTGGCCTCGTTTGGCAAGAGGCTATTTTAGCCAATTAGCCAAAAAGTTACTAAATTAGCCAAAAAGCCAACAACACAT